TTGCCTTCAGTGGCCCGAACTCAGGCTCAGTACTCTCCGCAGGTTCGAGTCGTTCTGGAACGGGCTTTGTTGCCCCTGCCGCAATCCGACTGGCAGCCTCCTGCCATGACTCGGCTAGACGTACGTGTGTCCCTGGGTAAGAGTGACCTTTGGTGCGCAGCTTTTGGGGGGCGCGAGAAAGCCAAACCCAGGGCTCGGGCCGCTTATAATATTTGGGCGGGTGCAGGGGACCTGTAAAGCGTACCCACCGCAAAGCGTACCCACCTTCCACAGTTCGGGAAGGTGTTCCGCATTTTTTGGAATGCTATTCCGCGCAGTATTCTGTGCGTACCGTTTCATGGACCTACTCACGCACGGTCGCCAGTCACGCAGGGGGGCTATGTCAATTCGCTCAACCCCGTGGCGCGGCCCCAGGGGCCACCGAAACACGCGGCACATATTCTTTGCAGCGTGCGTGCCAACTTGTAAACGCAAGAACACGCGTGTGAGTTTCACTCGGAAATATTACACTGAGCAAGCACAAGTGCACTTCTGTTGGCGTTTTCTGACACCCGCGCAACCCCAACGCGCAAAGGGGCAAACACGCGCGCGAAGGGGCCATTTTTGCTCAATGCACCAGCGGCTGACACCAAACACATTGGGAAGCGAACCGATCTATTATATTATTATTCTTCGACGTCTTCACAACGATGCTGAACCGATCCGCATGTGCCTGCCAGCCTTGGCGGCGCCATCGTCCGTGAGCACGCGCTCCACGCCAGTTTCGTCGAGCACCTCGGGTCTCGAAGACGGCTCGGGGGCAGAGTTGGTTTTCGGCCCCCACGACGCGGTCGTGGGCCGCACCTGGTCCTGGAACCCCAAGACAAAAGCAATGCCATCGGGTCTTGGGCCGACCTGGTGGCTCTGCGGTCTCCTACGGCGCCTTCGGGGGATTCCTGAAGGCCTCCTCGCCCCTCCCACAGGTTCGTCCCCTGGAGCCCGAGGGCCGTTGCCTCGGTGGAAGAGAACCCCACAGGGCTCCAGGCGAGTGCCTGCTTCCCTGGGGCCACGTCCCAGAGCCCCTCCCGCGCCGCGGACCCCGTCCGCGCGAGTCCCGGAACAGTGTTCCTGGACTCGCGGAATACTTGCCCGCCGGCTGGTTTGGGGGGTACGCTTTACTGGTCTGTTCGCCGCCCAGACCCTGGTGGGTACGCTTTCCTGGTCTGTTCCCCGCCCAGACTGGGGTGGGTACGATTTCCTGGCTTGGTCGCAGCCCATGGGGGGCGGGATCTCTGCAACTGTCCTTTCAGCGAGCCGAGGCCCGGGTGGGTACGCTTTACTGGTGTGTTCCCCGCCCAGAGAAATAGCGTCCCCTGGGTACGCTTTACTGGTCTGCTCGCTGCCCAGGGTCGTGGGTACGCTTTCCTGGCCTGTCCGGCCTCCAACACAAGCGCCCCGGAACAGTGTTCCGTCGAGCGCGGAACACTGTTCCGCACGGAGGGGAATTCAGGCCCCCTTCCGCAGGGGCCCTGCCTCCAGGTCACACGGACCCCGAGGAGGACCCCGAGCCCCCTGAGCATGCCAGGACGCGGGCCCCCGAAGCAGCTCCAGAGACACAGCCCCAAACGCCCAGGGACGAAGGATGGGGGGGGGCGGGGGGCGGAGTCGGACTCTGGCAGGACGGAGGGAGGACGGAAGAGGGGACGAGGAAGAGGGAGAAATGGCGAAGGGAACGGAAGGGGGAGAGGGATGGGAGGAGAGGGATATCAGTGAGAACAGAATGAGGCAAGGAGAGAGGAGGGGGGAACAGGGAGTGCGGAAGGAGGAAGGAGGAAGGAAGAGGGAGGGAGGGAGGAGACAGGAGAAAGAGGGGCGAGTGAGGAGAGAGGGGCGGGGGATGAGAAAGAAGCGAGGGGAAGGGGGAAGGAGGGAGGGCTGACGGAGGGGGGAGGGAGGGACTGAAGGGCGAAGGGATGCAGAGACGGAGAGAGGATGAAAAAGAAGGTACGCGTTGCACTCACAGCCGCGCGCGATATGGATACGTGGGCACACAGCTAGCGTCCAAGCCATGGCTGGATTCCAAGAGTGTCGATAGGAGCTGTCGAGCGATAGTGTTGTAGGATGTCCGACTTCCGCCCTCTGTCAGCCGCTTCTCTTCAAAAGGAAGGGGAAGCCCACCACCCCCCAACGAAAAGCCAGATGGACGGACAACTAGAGCTCCCGTCTACCCACAACGATGATGAAACGCAGGTAAGCAATCAGTCGCTCTACATATGATGTATCAATGGGCGACACTCCACACGTGGGTACGGTTTACTGGCTCACTTTGGGTGGGTACGCTTTACAGGTTTGATGTTGCCTCCCTAAATATCGCATCACGGTCGGCGATCGGGGGAAGCCCGATGAGCCCGCACCAAAGGTCACTCCGGCGAAGGGTCACTCTCACGTGTGGTCGGATGACCAAAAATGGTCCGGCACCGGCACTCTGGTCCTGGAATTTCTGGATCGCTCGGGAAGCTTTCCTGGCCGGGTCGGCGTTGGGTCCCGCTGGGGCGCGTTGTGCTGCACGGTGTGGTCGGTCATCACGCCGTGTGCCGAGGACCCCCTGGGAGTTCAGACTACTTCTTTTGCAGCTGCTCTCGGGAGGCATTTGACATCGATGGGGCCGAGTTGGAGGCTCTGATTTTTCTCCTGCTGAATACCATCCCACCCATAATGGCAGAGACTGGTTCAGATGTTGTTTATCTCGGTGTGGCAGAACGAGGCGAGAGAGGGGAACCGCGCACCACTCGTAAGAATGGGCTTGCAGGCAGAAGGTTCTCTGGAAACATGTGGCTCCCATCGTACTTAAGGGCCGTATCCCAGAAATAATTTCGAGCACCCGGAAAAATATCGAAAGAGTGTCGGACGAATGTTTCCCAGGGCCCGACACGTGAAAACCCTCGAGCTTCGGTACTTTTGTGGTGCTCGAGATTCTTTCTCGTGATCAAGGCTGAAGTCGTCTGAAACATCACAACTCTGGAGGCTCTCAACTCAAGTGAAGTCGGTGGCCTGTGTGAGGCGGGCCTCTCTACCCGCAGAGTTAAGAGTCGTTGTGCCATGTCCGACGTGGACCGAGGTGGGATCCGTCGCGGGGATGGGTCCGGCAGCTTCCGTGCAGTTCTGCGGGCCAGGTCTGCTGGCCGGCGCGTGCGCGCGCGCGCCGGGTGATGTGCATCCGCGCAGGCGGGAGGCCGAGCACTCTGTGGGGCATGTGAGACACCATGGTGGCCTTGTGGGAACGCGTGTAGCTGCCCGCGATACAGAAGGGGCCGACCACAAGAAACCTTCCACAAGAAACCCAACCCTGAGACCCCAGGACGTCCATCGATTCCGGGTGTGGGAACGGCACGCTCTCCATGGCAGAACCATCGAAACCCAAGAAACCCACAGCACCCTGGAGGCAAGCAGGGTGCTTCTTGGCATGGGCCCCCACTGTACTTGGCATGTGGCGCAGCGCATGAGACGCACACCCGACCCCTGGGGCCGCTCATCTTTTCAGAGCTGGTGCCTGCCGCGGCGGCGCCCGCGGGCGACGGCGAGACGGCGGAGCCGGGGGCTGATGTTCCATTCCTTTGGTGCTGTGTCCTCGTGATCCACTTGGACGCTTAGCTATTGTGCTCTGTAAAAAAACACGGTGGAAACAAAGCTCCAAACACATGTGTGTGTGTGTGTGTTTGTTCACATGCGTGTTTTGCTCCACAGTGTGTGTGTGTGTGTGTGTGTGTGTGTGTGTGTGTGTGTGTGTGTGTGTGTGTGTGTGTGTGTGTGTGTGTGTGTGTGTGTGTGTGTGTGTGGGGGGTGTTGTGTATGTTGTGTGTGAGGTGTGTTGTGTGTCTTGTGTGTATTGTGTGTGTTTCGTGTGTGTGTGTGTGTCTTGTGTGTGTGTGTGTGTCTTGTGTGTGTGTCTTGTGTGTGTTTTCTGCGACCTGCGCGGGCCAGCTGCCCGCCCGTGGTGCGCCCGCTGGCTGCCGCCCTGCAAGGCCCAGAGGCCTCGACGGCGTGCGACGGCGGCGCGCCCGCGAGAGCTGCGCCCTGGAGGGCCAAGCCAACGGGCTGCGGGAGCACAGCCAACCCGTAGCATGCGGATGCGGCGAGCTGGGGCCCCCAGGAGGGCGGAGGAGGAGGTGGGAGGAGGAGGAGGAGGAGGAGGAGGAGGAGGTGGGAGGAGGAGGAGGAGGAGGAGGAGGAGGAGGCGGTGGAGGAGGGGGAGGAGGGGGAGGAGGGGGAGGACGGGGAGGAGGAGAGGAGGAGGCGAACGAGGATCGCGACCAAGACGGAACGCAACAACGGCGGTCCCGATCGTGGCCACCGTCTGTTCGCCAGCTGCAGCCAACCCGTATCATGAGGATGCGCGGTAAGGATACAAGGACCTTGGAGGCCCACGTTCACGTTTTTCGAACGAGGCTGGCCAGCCAAAGTCGCTAAGGATAGGCCAAAGGGGCAGGGATGCGAGGGAACCCTTGCCAAGCGGGTTGACTGAACGGGGGGGGGGGGGGGGCGAGGGGCTCACGTGATTGTGCGTCTCGCAGTTGAGGACGGTTGTTGGAGTCTTCGCATCCCTCGCTCGCCCATCTCAGATACGGTGCCCATGGTTCGAAGCAACTCCAAGGGGCTTGGAAGCCTCGTGGCCGTCTTGTGACCCGCGGGGGCAAAGCTATTCGTCGGCTGCCCAGCGGATATTTGCCAGCCGAGATTCCTGCTCAGCCCTATCGTGTGGGCTGTTGAATGATTTCCTTCGTGTTGCCCTCAGGCGGGGGCCACACGGCTCCGGGAAAAAAACAAATAATTTCGAAATGGAGGATATGGAGGAGGAGGAAGAGGAGGAGGTGGCGGAGGGAGGAGGAGGAGCAAGGGAGGAGTGAGGAGGAGAGGAGGAAGAGGAGGAGGATGATGATGAGGAGGAGGAGGAGGAGGAGGGGGAGGAGGAGGAGGAGGAGGAGGAGGAGGAGGAGGAGGAGGAGGGGGGAAGGAGCCGATGCCTGCTGCTGGGGGCGAGCAGCAGGACCTGCGTCAGTAATCTACGAAGCTGTGGCTGTTGGTCCACGCCCTCGTTGGATTTGGTTGACCGAGAAAGGGGTCCAGCTGAAAGGGGGTGGTGCAATAATTAGGTTTGGGGCAAGCGGATTGCAAATGTATTGCCCTAGAGAATTGCACTGCGTTGTATTGCAGCTGGCGTGCTGCACGCCAACACCCAGCAATACACTCGCGCACCAGAACGTACTGCAAGCCCCAAATCTACTGCAACCCCACAAATCTGCTGCACCAAATCTGTTGCACCACCCCCTTGTCGCTGGACCCCCTCTTGGACCAACCAGAAATCGGAGCCAGGCGAGCTGAGGCGACGGCAACTCCCAAAATCGGTCCCCGGGCTCCTCCCCGGGCCCGAACGCCCCAAATTTTCCCGAATTGCGCCTGGTCGTGGCGACGACCCAGACATCCGACGTCTCGATTTGTCCGGGCCTCCCGACCACTTCCCCGGGACCGACCGTTTTTTTGACGGCCCCGAGGCCCGGGGAGGGCCCCGAGAGGCCGAGAACGAGGAGAAACCTCCGTCTCGATTTCTTGGTTCGAGGCCCCCGACGTCTGGGGAGGAGGCCTCCCTTAAGGCCTACACGAGACCGCCGCCTCCGCTCGCCCCTCCGCGAGCGCCTCGTCGGCTCCATCGGCGAGTTCGTGCCCGTGTGGCTGTTGCTCAGAGTGAGCAGATGCCCCTCCCGCTCCGCCCGGGCCACAAACTCGGGGCTGGCGAGCACGAACAGCACGTCGGAGGGGCGCACCTCTCGGCGGCGCCCGCGCGGGGAGGAGGAGAACTAGGAGGAGGAGGAGGAGGAGGAGGAGGAGGAGGAGGAGGAGGAGGAGGAGGAGAACTAGGAGGAGGAGGAGGAGGAGGAGGAGGACGAGGACGAGGAGGAGGACGAGGAGGAGGAGGACGAGGACGAGGAGGAGGAGGAGGAGGAGGCGGAGGAGGAGGACGCGGGGTGGGGGTCAGCCGCCCGAGAAACCGGCGTCCGCGAGGGCGGCCCCCGAGAGGCCTCCGGGAAGCCTCCAGTTTCGTCGGCAGACCCCCGACGCCGTCGACGCCCCCAGGGCGTCGGCAACCCGCGGGACCCCTGGGGGTGCCAGCCCTCGCCCGGGGGCCGGCTTTACCTGTGGATGCCATGACAGCGCACACCCTGACAACCCGACCATTGAGTGAAACGTGCGTTCAACATGTCGGAGAACGTTCGGAACGTGTGCGAAACGTGTTTTCGACATGTTACAGACACATATGTTAGACATGATTAAGACCCCTGGAGAATATTTGGCAACTTGCTTCCTCTCCATTGACCGTCGCCCACGAGGCTTTACATCATGGGCTGCTTCTTTTGATGGTTATCAGAGCGTGTGTTGGCACCCACGCGTGCTCGTCGACCGTGGCCCATCCATACGAAGCAAGCGGCGCCGCGAAGGCCGACGCAGGCTGCGCGTGGTCGACGGCGCCGAGCGGAATAGGCACACGCTAGGGCTAGCTAGCACACGTCCTAATGATCATCGAGCTTCGTTGACGGTTGACGGCCCCGGGGCCCCGCAACGCCGCAAAAGGGGCCTTCCAAGAGGCCCAAGACCTCCCGTCCTGATTTGTGCCTGGAAAATGTTTTTTGACCTCCACGGCTTCGCCACATCAGCCAGACAGGCGACTCCTTACGGCATTTGTGGGACATGTTGCAAGCAACATGCGCCGAACAGCAGGTGCAAAAAATTGGGCGACCTCGCCTCGGCGAGCGCCGCTTCGGGGAGGGGGCGTCGCGAGTTCATTTCGGAGCGCCCACTATGGCCCCCTCCCCTCACGGATCGACCCTCGGCTCGGCCGCCAACAACAGGGCATCCGTCGGCTGCGCAAGACATAAGCCACTGCTGCGTGCCTTGAAGCCCCTCTCTGGTCTGCATAGACCTAGAGACTGTGCAGAACCAGGAGAGGGCCCAAGGGTGGGAGGCGACGGGATACACAGATCGGGGAAGACAGAGGCTGACCTCCCCCGTGTCCCGACACTCTCGGTCGGACAGGCGGCCCACCTTGTGCAACGGTCACCGAAGCAAGGGGAGGTGGACAGCACGCAGCAGTGAAAAGGACGGCCTCGGTGACCCCAGATCGAAGCCGCCGCGCGAGTCCAGCGACCGCGACTCATTGGAGACTGAGCGGTCTCCCTGCGCAGCTGTCACCGCGGGGGGGAAGTACCTCCAGCGCCCCACGGCCGTGCAAGCAGGGGGAAGTGGGCACACACGCAGCAGTGAAAAGGACGGCCTCGGGGACCCCAGATCGAACCCACCTCTCATGTCCAGAGACCGCAACGCAAAAACCCACAGCACCCGAGGGGATGCTGGAAAAAATTCGCAGATCCCTCCAGGAGATACCGTTTTGGGGGCATGGCCCTGTGTGATCATGGCTGCCTGAAGCACTGCTGGGCATGTCCCTCTGCTAAAAACCAGAGACCTCCCGACTCGATTCCTGTGCGGGCCCGAGCACTTCTGGGCCCCGCAACGCCGCCAGGGGCCCGCGCGGAAGCCCCTGGGGACAACGACCCCCCCCAAAAAAAACCTCCCGCCCTGAGAGATTTGCGGCGGGGAGCCAGCACGCCTGGGCCCCACGGCGCCACAGAGGGGCCCTGCTAGAGGCCCCGGAAAACGGCCCCAAACCGCCCGTCCTGCTCTTGCCGTCGCTCGGACGACCACTCCTCGTGCACCGTTCGGCTTCGTGCGTTGCTTCTTTCGCCAGATGATCCAGGATGCTCCTCGATGAGAGGAAGGCTAAACAAAAACGTAAACATAAACTTGTGGCGCTCCGCGCGGATTTCTTGGATCTGCGCTGGACCCCCCTTCCTGGCGCGCGGAGCGCGCCAGGGGCGGCGCCGGAGGCGTCGCCGGGGAGGCCCCAGCGCGGATCCAAGAGATCCGCGCGGAGCGCCGAAAGTTTATGTTTATGTCGTTTTTTCTTCTTCGAACTGATCGGCTTCGTGCGTGCCTTTTTTCCCAGATGATCCAGGCTGCTCCTCGCTGGTCCTCGCGTGCCAGGTGATTTTGCCCAGGACGCGAGGGCGCTTGAGCCCCGTGACGCCTTCTCGCCAGCCCCGCCCCCCTTCCCCGCCCCCCGCCCCCCCTTTGCGGGCGCCGCCGAGCGCCAGCTCGGAGCCCTCGGGGCAGGTGACGATGTACCTGGGGGGACCTAGCGGTAGCGGCAATCTCTTCGAGATCGTGCATGTCGGTCGGTCGAAAAAAGCAGGTAGAGACACGAAGCAGGACGGCGAATCGAGCAGATTGGGTTCAGGCCCTCCCAGAGAGTAACAACGCACGGCCGAGGCAGATCGATTCTTGAAGTGGGAAGGCGCTTGAAGTAGACTGGGATCTGGGAATCCCAAAATACCTACTTTTAGGTCGGGCATGTCCCCCTACAGGCGGATTTTGGACGAACAAAATACCCTGGCGACGTACCCAACCCAACCCCTGCGCAATGCGGGGCAGGAGTAGCTTGGGATATTTGACGAGAAGGCGGCGACGTGACATGGACGCATATACTTCTGCGAGCGGCATTCGGAAGGTTCGCAGGCCCCCAGTCAAGGGAAATTAACCCCTGAGTCACTGAGGAAGACGCAAGGTCCAAAAGGAGACGGTGGGCAATGGACTTGAAACGGGGCAGCAACAACATGACATGGCCCCCCAAGGACGGCGAGGACCCGCTCAGGTCTGCGCAGTGCCTCACTCCATTGGACCCACCAGCACCCTTCTAAAGTGGCGAGCCCACCAGCAGCCCCCGAAAATGGCGACAATTTCGCAGATCGCAGCCCCGCTAGGACGGGGAGGTCCCGCTCAGGTCCGCGCGGTGCCTCGCTCCGCTGGACCCACCAGCAGCCCTCGAAGTGGTGACAGTTGCGCAGATCGCAGCCCCCCAGGGACGGGGAGGTCCGCTCAGGTCCGCGCTGTGCCTCACTCCGCTGGACCCACCAGCAGCCCTCGAAAGTGGCGACAATTTCGCAGACAGATCGCACCCCCCCAGGGACGGGGAGGTCCCGCTCAGATCCGCGCGGTGCCTCACTCCGCTGGACCCACCAGCAGCCCTCGAAAGTGGCGACAATATCGCAGATCGCAGCCCCCCAAGATCAAAGGAAGTCCCGCTCAGGTCCGCGCGGTGCCTCACTCCGCTGGACCCACCAGCAGCCCTCGAAAAAGGCAACAAATTCGCAGATCGCAAGCCCCCAAGGACGACGGGTCCCGTTCAAGTCCGCGCGGTGCCTCGCTCCGCTGGACCCGCCAACATCCCTAGAACATGGCGACAATTTCGGAGATCGCAGGGCCCCAACGACGTGGAGGTCCCGCTCAAGTCCGCGCGGTGCCTCACTCCGCTGGACCCACCAGCAGCCCTCGAAAGTGACAACAATTTCGGAGATCGCAACCCCCCAATGACAAAAGAAGTCCTGCTCAGGTCGCCGCGGTGCCTCACTCCGCTGGACCCACCAGCAGCCCTCGAAAGTGACAACAATTTCGGAGATCGCAACCCCCCAATGACAAAAGAAGTCCCGCTCAGGTCCGTGCGGTGCCTCACTCCGCTGGAACCACCAACAGCCCTCGAAAATGGCGACAATTTCGCAGATCGCAAGCCCCCAAAGACGGGGATGTCCCGCTCGAGTCCGCGCGGTGCCTCGCTCCGCTGGACCCACCAGCAGCCCCCGAAAATTGCCACACTTCCGCAGATCGCAAGCCCGCAAGGACGGGGAAGTCCCGCAGGTCCGCGCGGTGCCTCACTCCGCTGGACCCACCAGCAGCCCTTGAAAGTGGCGACGATTGCGCAGATCGCAGCCCCCCAAGGACGGTGAGGTGCGGTGCCTCATTCCGCTGGACCCATCAACAACCCTCGAAAGCTGCGACGGTTTCGCATATCGCAAGCCCCCAAGGACGACGGGTCCCGCTCAGGTCCGCGCGGTGCCTCGCTCCGCTGGACCCACCAGCAGCCCTCGACAGTGGCGACGATTTCGCAGATCGCAGCCCCTTCCCAAGGGCGGCGAGGTCTCGCGGGCGACAAGAGGCGGGAGGCAGGAGGCGGGAGAGGGAGACGCGACCGCGGTGCCCTGTTCAAAACGAATTCCCAACCAAGGAGGGTTGGGAATTACCCTGGCGACGTACCCAACCCCTGCGCAATGCGGGGCAAGAGTAGCTCGAGAGATTTGACGAGAAAGCGGCGACGTGACATGGACGCATATATACTGCTGCGAGCGGCATTCGGAAGGTTCGCAGGCCCCCAGCCAAGGGAAACACCATGAATAACGACGTGAACCCCTGAGCCACCAAGGAAGACGCAACTGAAAACGTCGGCGGGGCAACTACAGCATAACATGGCCCCCCAAGGACGGCGAGGCCCCGCTCAGGTCCGCGCGGTGCCTCACTCCGCTGGACCCACCAGCAGCCCTCGAAAGTGGCGAGCCCACCACCAGCCCCCGAAAGTGGCGACAATTTCGCAGACCGCAGGGCCCGCAAAAACGGGGAGTTCCCGCTCCGATCCGCGCGGTGCCTCACTCCGCTGGACACACCAGCAGCCCTCGAAAATGGCGACAATTTGGCAGATCGCAGCCCCCCAGAGACGCGAGGACGGGGAGGTCCGCTCGGATCCGCGCGGTGCCTCACTCCGCTGGACCCACCAGCAGCCCTCGAACATGACGACAATCTCGCAGATCGCAGCCCCCCAAGGACGGGGAGGTCCCGCTCAGGTCCGCGCGGTGCCTCACTCCGCTGGACCCACCAGCAGCCCTCGAAAATGGCGACAATTTCGCAGATCGCAGCAACCCCAGGGACGGGGAGGTCCCGCTCAGATCCGCGCGGTGCCTCACTCCGCTGGACCCACCAGCAGCCCTCGAAAGTGGCGACAATCTCGCAGATCGCAGCCCCCCAAGATCAAAGGAAGTCCCGCTCAGGTCCGCGCGGTGCCTCACTCCGCTGGACCCACCAGCAGCCCTCGAAAATGGCAACAATTTCGCAGATCGCAGGCCCCCGAAGACGGGGAGGTCCCGCGGGAGACAGGAGGTGGGAGGCAGGAGGAGGCGGGAGAAGGAGACGCGACCGCGGTGCTCTATTCAAAACGAATTCCCAACCAAGGAGGGCTGGGAATAAAAGGTAGCCAAAGAAAAATCAAAGATGATCGAAAACTGGTCGAGAAATCTTCTCCCGACGGATTTTTGGGGACTGCTGTTGAATATTTCTGTAGAGGGACACCCCGGACTCAAACCTACTTCCAACTAGGCGGCGAGCCAGGGGGGTAAATGAGAAGGGGCGTGCCTTCTCAGAAGGCCCGGAAGTCACCCGGACTTCTGAAAAGTTGTCTAAGCCTTCCCCGAGAACAAACAACTTCTCAGAGGGCGCGAGGGCTTCTGAGAAGTCCCGCCGCCTTCTGAGAAGGCCTTCTCCTTCCTGATTCCCCCCCTTCGCTCGCCGTCGACCAACGGCCAACGTGCACGTGCGTGCCTCTTGGGCTGCTGGATGCGTCGGGCGACCCGCGGCCGTCCCGGGGCGCGTTGCGGCACTCTCTGGAATGATATCTGGGAAGGGGCCCAGGGGCACACAGACACAGAAAGCGTCGATCCCCAGGAGAAGGTTGAGCATATGGGAAGTGGGGGGGAAGACGAAAACCCAGGAAATCTGTGTCTTATGGGGAATCCTGGGATTGGTGTCCATTCATTATGAAGGCCTTACGGTCGGTACCGCGGATCCTAGAAGAAAGAATGTGCGCAGACATTTTCTCGAGCTTTTCGTCTTCCCCCTCTCCACTTCCCATGTGTCCCCATCTCCTCGTGGGAACCGACGATTCCCTGTGCCTGTTTTTTTTATTCTCCCTCCTGAGATTCATCCCCGTGCCTGTGCTTATTTTCCCTGTGCCTGTCCACCTCATCCTGGGCCTCCTTGGCCCGGGGAAGCAACGAAAGTGCCAAGCTACAGCAAATTATTGTTTCTCGGACCACCACCAGGGTGCGTTCCATAGCCCCGATCTCCGAGGCGAACCACGGCCGCGGCGACGAGGGCCACCCCGGAAGCCCCGCATGAGCGACGAGGAAACCGGGCTCCTGCGGGAGATGGCAGAGCGACCTTCCGCCGCGGCTTGCGTGAGCCGCCCGCGCGACACGCCACACTTGAAGCGAGGGCGCTTATACGCGCGAGCCTACGCGGGGATCTTACGCGCCAGCGTCAGCGCAATTGGACCCGTCTATCTTCGTCGCTCGAAGGTCGACAACGAGGGAAGGCCGGCGGCATCGGCACCCATTCCCCAAAAGGAGCACAAGAGCGACATACACATACACTTTCGACGGTCCGCGCGGGCGTCTGAAGTCTGCGCTCGACCCTCCTCCCCTGCGCGCGGAGCGCGCTAAGGCCCAACGCCGATCCAAGAAATCCGTGCGGACGCGGACCGCCAAAAGTGAATATTCATGCTTCTGGATGCCATAGCAATGGACACCCTAGCAGTCCTGTTATTGCAATAAAAAGTGTGTTCTAGAGCATTTGGGATCTGTTCTAGAAATGCTTTAATCATGTTTTGTTTAAGATACGCGTACAACTTGTTGAGACATCTGGCAAATATGTGGCAGCATTTTCGTCAGCGGCGAGGCGGCGAACTCCGCTCCAGCGAAAAGCTAGACAAGGGCATTAACTATCGAATTGGCCGGCGGGAAAAGGAAAAGGGGGGGGGAAGGCCGTGAGGAAGAAGGGGCGCTCAGACGCCGAAGAGTTCGACGATGACCAGCCGGGGGGGGTGCAGCAGCAGCCAGGCGCGCAGGGCCAGAGCGCGGTGGGTGGCCGTGGCGAACCACGGTGGCAAGGGTGGCGAGAGGGAGGCTGCCAGCAGCTGGAGCTGGCGGGCGGGCGCAGTGGGAAAAAAAATGGCAACATGCTGCCTCTCCATTGATCTAGAGGCCTCCTAGATGAGGTCGGAGTAGATGGGGTCGGAGGATCGCGCCGCATCGCCGATACAACGGCGATTTATCGGCGATGAATCGGCGATGCACTGGCGATGCACCGTCAACGTTGGCGATGCATCGGCGACGTCGACATGACGCAAATCAGGCTGCACATCGAGCCGCATCGGCGATGCATCGGCGATGCGGCGCGATCCTGCGACCCCATCTACTCCGACCCCACCTGTGACTACCTACCAGACCACCCCAACCCAACCCGAAGACCCGAATTTCGGGTTGGGGGGGGTATGGGCTCCATATGTGTTTTTTCGATGTTCCCGGACCCCCCCCCACTAGAAATCGAGGGTAAATCTGAGCCTTCGGGTTGGGTTGGGGTGGTGTGGTGGGTGGTGAACCTGGGAGGCATCGAACTGATCGTCGCCCACACACGTCTACGCCGCTCTCCTCGGAGTACCTCGCCGTCGGCGCGTGACCCTCCCGCTCAACTTCTG